TTTAGACCTCCTCCTAAAGTAGAGTCCAATGTGGTGCGCATAGAACCTCGTAATCCACCACCTCCTATCAACTTCAAAGAATGGGATGGCTTAACAAGAATTGCGTTTTCTAGGAAAAATAAAACATTAGGTGCAATTTTTAAACAAAATGCTGTTGCTGTAACATTAGAGAAAAATTATAGAGTTTATTGTTCCTTAAAAAATCAAGTTAGTTAAAAACATAAATTATATTTTTACTTTAAGGACTATTCAATGAGGAATTTTCAAAAAAAAAATATTTTTTTAAATAATTAAAATTAAAATTAATCTTTAGTATGTTTAAAAATGATATAMAATGTCTTGGGTTCTACTGCTGGCTACCCATCAATTATAATACACACAATTTTTAAGGTTATCTCCACTCATTTATTTATATATTAACTTATATTACCTCAAATGAAATCTATTTTTATATTACAAAAGCTAAGATATTTTCCCGTAATTTGGTACCAACAACTATTAAAATGATAGATAATAAATGACATGACATAACATTAGTTTCTTTTTTTTTTTAAATTTTATTCTAAGCATTGTTGTCAATATAATGAAAAACGTTCAATTAAATAAATTAAGTTAAAAAATGATAATTCAGCTATATAATGAAAAATGTTGCTGATTTTATACTTCAACAGTTTAAACAAAATTTATTTTAATAGTGTTAAACAAAAATTAGTAAATAGTAAATTAATCAAAATTATAATCACACCAGTGTCATTAACATAGATACTCATCAGATCATGCCATATAAATTAATATAAAACTAACTTTGCAATTGAAATTGTTATATTAATTTATACTCTATTTAAGTTAAAAAAAACATAGTGACCTGTTTATGTCAGTCAGACAACACCCACCCCATACCACTTTCAGACAATTATATACAGTGGCGGCTCGAAGGGAGTATATTTGAATCATGCGATTCACACAAATWWTAATGAGTGGGTGGGTGGGTCTTATGGTTGGAAAAGGTAGACTGGACCATTTTTGCCGGTTGRTAATTTAAATATTAAATAATATATAGTTGTAATGTGTACTCAGCAGATAATGTACCTACAATAATAAGTAATAACTAATAACTATATTTTAGGGTGGGTGGTGTAAAAATATTAAACATGATTTGAGGGAAAAAAGTTCAAGCCGCCACTGATTATATATATATAATATTTCGTCACATAGTATTGCCGTGCCCCTGCGAACACCAAGGCTGCCGGCAGTATTTCTTAACTTGAATAAAGTATAGACATACTTAGGTACTATGACTTCACAAGTACATTTTAAAATTTTCGTATCTCATTAAATAATTATAGTTAAAGTGCCAGATCCACAACATATATCTAAGATAATAATGAAGTAGATTTTATTTTATAGTAAACATGAGTTTTTTCTTCCTTTAGGAGGACGCCAACTCRCATGTTTTCTCTGTCTTACAAACATACAACATACCAAAAATTGTTTTGCGCAAGACATCTTTACTCTATCTGTATTTATAGTAGAATATTACTAAAATTCTATAATGCATTGGGAAGAACTTTATCTGTACTGTAGTGTCTTTATTATTTTGATAGACCAATAATTTTTAATAATTAAATAAAAAAAAAACAAAAACAAAATATGTTCTCAAATTGATAACTTTAATTGTATTCATGTTATCCTAAAAATAAAGACTCTATAACATAGATAATATATTTCTCTATGTGCGTTGAATTTTAGTTATTCCACCATAAATATAGAGGGATTAAAGATGTTCTGTGTAAAACAGTTTTCCTGTGTTACTCATGGTAATAAACTCAAAATTTCATACATTATACATCAGATATGTAAGTGTGTATTTGTGACATACAGGGTGATTCTTTTAAGTATTTTATAGTTAACTTTAAATACATATAACTCATAAACTACTCGTCCTAAATTCGATTTTTATGAATCAAAATACTTAGAAAAATATTCTGTAWTGAAATATGAAATTAAAACTATATTGTCATTCAAAAAAGTGAAAACTTAAAAAATGATAAGGATAAAAAATATTTAAAAATATAAATTTTTAATAAGAACGTTGGTCTTTTAACTACTTGAAACCATGTAAAAAAATATTTTGAAAAAAGTAAATACTTTTCGAGATAATTAGTGTACCCACTTAAAAGAATCACTCTGTATTATGAACTAACTAAAAAAATTATAATTTATGAATTAAATAAACTTTTTCTATCATTAATATTTATTATTTTAACTGAGTGTTGGTATCAAATCGCGGGAAAATATCAAATCTTGTGTTGGTATATAAATAAAACGGTAGTCAGAAAAAAAGCCAAATTACAATAATTAAATGTATATATCAATTAAACTTAAAGTATAAAATTAGGTATTATTTAAAAATTSTTTACACATTTATTGGTCAAATGTATAAAAAATAATTATAATTAAATATACAAAAAAAATAAAACTTAAAGTATTATTWAAAATGTTTAAACATTGGTCATATTGTATACATATATATTATATATATGTATATAAAATTATTAATACACAGGTCATATGTTAATTAATTTAAAACTTTTAACACTGTTGATCATACTGTATTGTCCATATTCATATATAAAAATAAAATTGTTAAAAATATTATAATATACATTGAATAAAAATAATATTATATTTTGTGGATATTATCTTGAAATCAATTGATTTAT